CTGCAGGCTCATTATGTCACCACACCTGTATTTTGGCTTTTTGTCCTGTCTCACACCCCCCCCCCCCCCTGCTAGGTATGGGATATTCTTCCCCTCTAAGTATACTTCACATCTGGCAATATGATTTATCATTGATCTTTGGGAGGGAAATGGGAAGCAAGCAAAAAGCTCCATAATTAGTGAGAGGTCACTGTGATCTAAGGGGCCATCAGATCAGCTGAAGACAGAGAAATTCCACCTACTTCTTTTTCACAAGGCAAATGATGAGTCCCAGGGCAAACAGCAGCAAGGCGCCGCCTCCCACCACGGCAATGAGGATGACAGTCATGTCTGTGAGCAGAGACATAGAGAAGGGGAGACGTGTGGGGTTAGGTCTGTGATGGACTTGAGTACATAGCCTCCAAAGATGACCGCCACCCATTCCTTCGCCCCCTGTACCCACATGCTGCCCACAGATGCATACATCCAGCTCAGATCAGAAGTGCCCAGCCACCACCTGAGCAATAACAATGGCTGTTTTTAAGCCACTGAGTCCTGGGGTGTTTTGTTATGCAGCATTACTGATGCAATAGCTGACGGATACACAGACAGCCAGGACTCAAAGCTATGTTTTCTGACTCACCTCCCAGGCTTGCTCCTTCCCCGTCAGCTACCAATTTACACCATTACCATCCCTGAAAAACCCCGAAGGCCCTTACCTAGCGTTCTCCAGGTAAGCGACACCTGGAAGAGCAGGTCCAGCTTCTTGCCACTCACAGGGCTGCAGTTGGAGATGTTGACCCAGAAGTTGTGATGGTGGGAGCTGGACTTGGGGAGCACCTCCTCCAGGCTGAAGATCTGCTCGGCCTTGGTCCGCTGCTCCTGGATGATCATGAACGCGCGCCCCGTCTGGCACACCAGGCCGGTCCGCTCCTTCAGGAAGGTCAGGTAGGCCACCTGGTCGCTGGGCACGCTGATGTTCCAGGACACCGAGGCCAGGGACGGCAGGCCCCGCTCCCAGTTAGGGGTCATCAGGTAGACCTTGCTTTTCATATCCGGGGTCACCGTGAAAATACCTTCCTCTGCATGAGAGGGAAGAGAAGGAACAAAGACGTTTCCATCGGAAGGGAGAGAAGAAGTCGCCGCGGCGGAGAAGATGGTGGAGTGTCGTGACCAGAGCTGTCCAACAGAGCTTTCTGTTCTCATCTGCACCGTCCACGGGAGTAGCCACAGCCACACGTGTTTGCTGAAGACCTGACACGTGCTCGGTGTGACCGAGGAACCGCATTTCAAACTTTCTTTACTATGAATTTACATTTAAGTTGCCACAGGTGACCCGTGGCTACTGTATGGGTCAGCACAAGATTAGAGTCTCAGTCAAATCAAAAAGCAAAAAACAGGCCAGTTTGCCAAACGGGTGGTTATCTCGGCTTCCTTTCAGGAATGCCCTCAGCATCGCTACCATTCACCTGTGCCCCACGGTGGGATGGGTATATACCGATTTCTGTTTCTGAGATTAAAACGTCAAGCCCTGGCCCTGGATGGATGGCTCAGTTGGTTGGAGCTCTGTCCCGTATACCAAAAAGGCTGTGGGTTCCATTCCCTGTCTGGGCACGTGCCTAGGTTGCAGGTTCGATCCCCAATTGGGGCTTGTGCGGGAGGCAACCAGTCGCTGTTTCTCTCTCACATCAATGTTTCTCTCTCCCTTCCACTCCCTCTAAAAATCAATAACAAAACAAACGAACGAACAAAAGGCCCATCAGGTCCTCAGAAGATTTCTGGAATTGCAAAGCAGACAGTGCCTCTGACACGTCAACTCATCTACTCCTGACCCCCGGGGAGATAACCCCACACCGATGAGTGTGTTACTTTCACAAACTCCCCAGGAGGAGTTTCTCTGATGATCTTAAAGAGCTCCAGCAACCTAGATGGACCTTAATCTTAGGGCCACAGGTTCTTCTTCCTCACACTCATGCCTGAGAACAAAAGTGTGAAGCAAACCTCAGAGAAAGCCCTTGGTCAATATTCCAATTGCCTCTCACGTTGGGCAATTTGTGATGGCGACTGTGACTTTTAAAATCAGCCATGCAGAGTTCTAGAGTCACTCTCATGACCGACTGAGACCTCATTTCCTGCCTGGGACACAGAAGCTCACCGTCCTCTCCCAGGAAAATGGGACCCTGGAGTTCTAGATCCTTCTCTCTCCCAGCATTCCTTTCCGGCGCACTCCATGCTGCATTTCGAATTCTCAAATCAGAATCATAAAAATGCACGCATACGGGTTTTTAGGTTACCACCTTAAACATCCAGGACTTGGGACTATGTGGTTAGTTCTAACTTATGCTCTGGCCACTTCCAAGAAAGACTCGAATCTGATTATATGTTTTGCTGCCATCAACCATCATCTCCCCTGTCACAGAGCCTTGGAATTTTCCACTCCAGGTTAACGGTGGAGTCAGGATCAGGACGCAAATGTCTGGTGTGAGGTCCAGCCCCCTCAGCAATCTGTCCTCTTCAATTTGACAACTGGAGTAAGACGATCACAAAAGCAAAATAGAGGAATGCCCGCATGGGAAAGGCCTGAAGACGGAAGAAGGTGAAAGACGCCCTTACCTTTGAAGTAGGGTATGAAGGTCACGGTCAGGGCCTGCCTGGAGAGGTCCTGCTGGAAGCTGGGGGCGAAGGTGCGCAGGGTCACCAAGACGTTCTGCTTCACCTGGATCTGCTCGATGGCGCCTCCGGCACAGAAGGAGCCGAAGTAGAGGTCCTGGCCCAGGCCAGTGCCGGCCACCAGGTAGCTGAAGCTGCTGTTGCAGAACCGCTCCTGCGTGTGCTGCTGCAGCTTCTGGGCCGGCACCAGTGCCAGGCTGAGCCTGTCCTTGGGTACCAGCAGCTTCCAGGAGAAGTCGTGCAGCTGCACGGGCAGCTGGAGGATGTCCCTGGGCACCTGGAGGGAGTAGGACCTCCTGTGGCAGTACCGGTGGTCCGTGCAGCCTGGAAAAGAGGGGCTCGTGGTACCCAGGCCGGGAGGAGACAGGAAGAGCATCCTCCCAGCTCTCAAGTCGGCCCCAGGCTTCCTGGCTTTTTCCCTTTGGTCCTTCCTCCCGCGCTGTCCCCAACTCCGGCTCCCTTTCTAGCTCCCCGTCCTGCTCTCTCACACTCTTCCTAACCTGGCAGACCAACTTTCTGGGGAGTTTTTAGGGTTGAACTTCCTCTTCTTGTTTGTCAGGCTGTCACCTCTGTGTCTCAGGTGCTAAGTGCCAGGTGGGCAGGGCACAGGTCTCCCCAACCAGGCCTGTTGCCCAGTGTCCCCATCTACGGGAGGCAGTTCTGTGCAGTGGTGACAGCAGGGCGTGGAGCTAGGGGTCTCAGCTGGCATTCTAGCTCTGACACTTCCTACGGGGGGGCCCCGGCTCCTGCACCCGCAGACTCTGCGAGCATCCACGCCAGAGATCACAGGGGCCCCGCAGGGAGGTGACTGTGGATCTGGCTGCCCCACCTTCATCACACATTTACTACGTGACTAGCACATGGCCAGCCTTGCTAGGGGCTAAAGGGATAAAATGCAATAGCCCTAGCTGGTTTGGCTCAGAGGAAAGAGCGTCTGAAAGGTCACAGGTTCGATTCCGGCCCAGTTGCAGGCTCGATCCCCATCCCCAGTTGTGGGGGACGTGTGGGAGGCAGCCAGTAGATGTGTTTCTCTTTCACATAGATGCTTCTCTCTGTCTCTACCCTTTCCTTCCACTCTCTCTAAAAGTCCATGGAAAAAAATATCCTCAGGTGAGGATTAATAACAACAACAAAAAAGAGACAAACCAAGACTCAAGACTTGGAGTCTCATGTGGGAGACCGCAAGCGGGCAGTGAGCGTGGAAGCAGGGGGCGTGCAGGGGGAGAGGACGGGGAAGGCCACGACTAGGAGGAGGGGGTTCCACAGGGGGAGTCTGAGGAGACGTGAGCATGGACAGGGGTCACACACGGCCCTTCTGAAGGGTGCACGTTCCAGCGGAGGCGGCTGCTCCCAGGGGAGGCAGGTGTCCACCTCCTGGTTCGCTTCCTGGTGGCCCTTGCTCGCCCGGCACCGTGGGGGACATTTCTGGTCATACTATTTACACCCTGCCCCGTGGGCCCCGCCAAGGAGACAGGGCAGGATGCAGAGAGATGCCCGCGGCCCTGGAGGAGGGGGGAGCGCCCCGACCATGGGCGTACTTATGGTTTTCTCGACGTTCATCCACAGGCGCGTCAGGTCGTCGCAGAGGAACGAGATCCTGTGCTTGGAGCCATGGGCCAGGGTGAGGTTGGTGCTGCAGGTCCGGGACTCCAGGCACACAAAGCAGCCGGGGACGAAGCGGCGGCTCAGCTTCACGGGCCTTGGCTCGATGGTGACCGACATGGCTTGCTCCTTACTCAAGTCAACCTCGTAGGTTATATCTGGAACCACACACACAAGACCGGCGTCAGCCCCGTGAAACGGGCAAAGATTCACACAAAACCTCTCATGGCCGGGGAATGTGGGAAACGCTTTTTATTATTCAGGCAGCATCACAGTAAGTCGGGAAGAAATTTAAAAAGAAAAAGCATGGACCGCATTTCTACCACATTCCTTCACCCATCCTCCTATTGATGGAGATGTAGGCCGTTTCCCGTTTTTGATTTTTCTAAGCGTGCTGGACCTATGCCTTTGCACGACTGTGAGTGGATGGACCGTGCCACTTCTTGGGTAAACACTGAGGAGCGAAATGTCTGGGTCAGAAGTAGGAAGGCACAGGTTTAACTCTGTAAGAGACAACCAGATGGTTCTAGGTGGCTGCAACGTTTGGCACTCCCGACAGCACTCTGACCCTCGGTGGGTGCCCCAGCCTTTGTTAGTTTAGCCCAGGGGTGGGCAAACTTTTTGACTCGAGGGCCACAATGGGTTCTTAAACTGGACCGGAGGGCCGGAACAAAAGCATGGATGGAGTGTTTGTGTGAACTAATTAATATAAATTCAAAGTAAACATCATTACATAAAAGGGTACAGTCTTTTTTTTTTTTTTTTTAGTTTTATTCATTTCAAATGGGCCGGATCCGGCCCGCGGGCCGTAGTTTGCCCACGGCTGGTTTAGCCATTCCTGTGGGTGGTGGGTGGGAAATGGTACAGTGGTGTTACAGTTAAATCTCCTTCGAACATTACTATATAATAATCAGGTGGGCAGAAATGAGACTCCTGGCAGTTGAGCTGAAACAGTGCAGTTTGTTGAGAAAAAAGCATCCTGATTCTGGGGCAAGACAGGACTTCCGTGGCAGGAGTGTCAGTAATGCACTGCTTTCCGCATTCTCATTTGCAGATGCAGTCCATGCGTTAGTCACTTAACATGTCCTCTCTCCACACTGACTCTGGTTGGATCTCAAGGTAACTGGAGGGGCGGGGCAGACACAGCACATGGCCTCGCTGCCTAAGGAATGTCCTCATGCGAGGCGTCAGCAGGCAGAGCGGGATGGAAATGTGCAGAGATGGGGCGTTTTAAATGGAAACGTCACCTTTTCACACTCACCAATCTGAGGAAAGACAAGACGTATTGTGACTGTGTCTTCTGTGTATTTTGACAAGTAGCCTTGTCCCACCCCTACAAAAGGGAGGGCAGGGAGGTGTGGCTGTCAATTGACAGCTGAAAGGGGAGGCGCCGGAGAGGCTGAAACGACCGGCTCAGGGTGTCTCAGGTCACAGAGGGCAGACCTGTGATCTGAACCTGGTTTCCCACCACAGAAGACTCTCATCCTCTTTCTACAACACTGTGGGTGTTTCCCGCATGCAAACAAACATCCGAGCCTGCAGCTTAAAAGACAGCCCCACACAAAAACAGACAGCATCACACTACTGGATACTTATGGACTCCGGGAACCACTGAGGGGGTTGGGTTACTGACTGAAGTTTCATAAAGGCCCCTCATCATTCCTGTGGCATCTATAGAAATTTATTTCTTTAACATGAAAACGGGCCCCAGGGGAGCAAGCCTGAGGCCCCAGGACGTGCCAGCTCCGCCAGGACCAATCCAGGCTCCCTGAGCACGAGCTGAAGATGCACTGTGCTGCCTCCCTTCGTCCTCACCACCCCTGCGGGCCTCTGAGCTGCATTTCAAAATGAGAAATCGAGTCACGTGGAGGTTAAGAGACTTGCCCAGCTGGCGTGGCTCAGTGGTTGAGCATTGACCTATGAACCAGGAGGTCACGGTTCAATTCCAGGTCAGGGCACATGCCCAGGTTTCAGGCTCGATCCCCAGTGTGGGACTTGCAAGAGGTAGCTAGCTGATCAATGATTCTCTCTCATCACTGATATTTCTCTCTCTCTCTCTCTCTCTCTCTCTCTCTCTCTCTCTCTCTCTCTCTCTCCTTCTCCCTCTTTCTCTCTCTCTCTCTTTCCCTTCCTCTCTGAAAGGAATAAAATAATATCTTTAAAAAAGAGACGCTTGCCCATCCATGGTCACACAGTAAGTAGGGGAACCAGGTTCAAATCCACACAGGCCAGATTTGGGGGCGGCAGTCTTAACCACTGGGCTACGCTGCCTGCAAGCAGCTGCTCACACATATTAAGAAGGGATCAGACACACGTGTGGGTGCCCAGGACTGGCTGCCGCGGGCAACCTCCTGAAATGTACGGCCCACATCAGGATGAAAAGGACCCAGACGGCGCCATCTAGAAACCGGAGATCTTCCTGAGTCCAGCCCAGCCTAATCTTATCCCCAAAGATATTCCTGCTGGTCAAGGTCACGCACTTCTCTAGAAAAATGGAAACCCCACTTTAAGGCGAAACACCGCCACACTGCAGGTCATCACTCTTTATGCTGGTTGTAGCCTGTTTACCGTTTGGTTAGTTTTAGAAGTCAGCCCAGCTGATTTTGCAGGAAACAGAATCAATCAGCAGCTCTTCGCCCTAAGATGATAAAAAAATCTGTCCGTCTTCTGAAACTCAAACCCACTCCATTCCAAATCCTTTCGTGGCTGTTCCAGCATTAAATGCGACAGTGGAACTCCAAAGTGTGTCAATGGACACACACACACACACACACACACACACACACACACACACTCTCACTCAAGTACATAAAGTTACGTCTTCTACGTAATTATTGTGAATTAGAAGGAATCTTGGGTCAAGATATGGGCAAAGTCAGGCCCAAGTGGGTGCCAAGGGGGCATTCCTAAGGCAGCCTCTTGAGTGCACCCTACAGGGTTACTTTTCAGATGTTTATCGGCCCTATAAACACAAACAGCGCCCTAGCCAGTTTGCTCAGTGGTTAGAGTGTCGGCCCACGGACTGAAGGGTCGTGGTTTCGATTCTGTCCAAGGACACGCACCTGGGTTGTAGGCTGGATTCCCTAGCCCGGTTGGGGAGGCAACCAATCGATGCGTGTCTCCCACAAACAGAAACAGCATGCCACTCCCCACTCCCACTCAATTTTTCTGCCTGGCTCTGCCTACTTCCCAGAAATAAGAAAAACAAGCTGAGAGTCGGCCCTCTGGACATAACCCGTCCTCAGCAGGTAAGAAATGCCCGGCCCACCTGCCACAACTCACTCCTTCCCAGATTCTAGTTCACAGACGAGCCCCATCCACGCTGGCCTCCTCTTGTACGTTATCTCAAAACCCACACCACAACCCTCGGGACCAGGACTCAGGCGCGGCAGGCGAGGGCCCAGGGCTCAGGATGCACCATCTAAGGAGGCACTCGCTCTCGGGAGCTGACCTGTACTTACGCCTCTATCACAGGGAGCCCCTCGGAGTGGGCGCCTCCTTAAACGTTGCATCCTGAGCACTTCACCTCACCCTCGTCCTGGCCCCGACTTCCCTTCTTTAGTTTCGAGGCGTCTGAGTAATTGTGTGTGGGATGAAGCATAACCTCATGCTCACCCACCTACCTGGGGCTCAGTGTGGCTCACAGCACGGGCTCTGGGTGCTGAGCTCGCTCGGCTCCTGGCCAGCTGTGTGATGTGAGCCTCGTTCCACAACCTGTCTGAACCTTCTGGTTCCTCATCAGTAGATGAAGATAATTCCTGCCGCCCCTACTGGGTCGTCATAAGGATTAGCTGGGACATATAAGCGGCGTGCTTAATGCAGTGTAGAGCGCTCAACGGCGTTAGCGATCATTATCATTGCTGCCGGTGTGGGGACATCGAGACTCCCAGTGTAGGGTCAAGACATGCTGCCTAGAGGGTAACCTTCCAATGCCTTAATTAAAAACAACTCTGCCCTGACTGGTTTGGCTCAGTGGATAGAGTGTTGGCCTGTGGACTCAAGGGTCCCAGGTTCGATTCCGGTCAAGGGCATGTACCTTGGCTGCGGGCACATCCCCAGTGGGGAGTGTGCAGGAGGCAGCTGATCGGTGTTTCTCTCTCATTGATGTTTCTAACTCTCCATCCCACTCCCTTCCTCTCTGTAAAAAATTATTGGAATATATTTTTTAAAAAAACACACAAAACAAACAAACAAACAAACAAAAACCCAACTCCACAGCCCTGGCTGGTGTGCTCACTGGCTAGAGCATTGGCCCATATACCGAGGGGTCTGGGGTTTGATTCCCAGCCCTGGTTGGGGTGCATGCGGGAGGCAACCATTCAATTTGTCTCTCAGATCAATGTTTCTCTCTCTGTCTCTCTCTCTCCTCCCTGGCCCCTCCCTCCCTCCCACTCTCTCTAAAAACAAAGCAATAGAAAAAACACTGAGTAAGGATTAACAAAACAATAACAACAACAGAAATAACCTGGCACCCTGAATGTAAGTTTGCGTTTTGGAATCTTACTGTTTCAATGGCTGGGCATGCCATGCCTTCACCAATAAGCCTGCCTCGCTGCCTAGCAACATACTTCCTGCAACTCTTCCAGGGTCCAAAGGTCCAGAAGCCACAGCTGAGAAACAGGAAGGAAAGAAGGTGTTGGAGGAGGAGGGGAAAGGAAGGTGGGCTCACTCACTGCTTTCATTGTGTGGACACTGGACCAAAACTTGAAACTTCAGCCGGAGGATCCCCGGATTTTGGGCATCTTGGTCACATCCTTGCAGAGAGAGGTTGAAGTTCCCAGCCATGTTCCCAGGCTGCTTGTCTGCCAGCCTGAACACCTCGGGGTTGGTGGTGGAGCCCGGGATGTAGTACTCAACCCGCTCCTCCTTCTTCGCGCAGTTGGAGTTATTGAACTGGAGGAAGGAGACGCTGGCCCGCAGGTGCGCAGGGATGACAAACTGCCACGTCATGAGCTCGTCCTCGGGGAAGCTAAACGGGTAGTTGGCAGACATCAGGGTTGCTGAGCCTTCACCCTCAAATACAGATTCGATGAAGCACAGTCCTATTGGGAGGGGAAACCGAAACAAGGCGATTAGATCCTGCCCTGACTGTCCACAGCTTAGGGCAGGGGAAGGAGGTTCTCAGGTCCTGAGCCGTGGGTCGGGATACGGTATGAGGAGGAGACATCAGTGGTGTGCAAGTCTATGTTTAACAACTGACTCGGCGGGGGAGGGGGAGGGCGTTCTGATATGTAGGGCCTGCCCATTTCCTTGGTGTAAATTTCCCACCATAGCTGATTTCAAGCTACCAATGTGGGATGACCGAATGTGGACTTGGAAAGAGATGGACAGCAGCTCACCATCATAAAGGATTTCCACTTGCAGAGAGAATCAGCATAAATAACCTCGAGAACACAGATAACCGAAAAATGTAGAGAAATCACTAGGGGGGGCAATGAGTTTGGAGTGTTTATGGCCTTTGTTTCAACCTCAGCAAATAGCAGGAGGGCATGGCGAGCTCACGTTTTATGGATGACTGGCTCGACATGCTGAAGCCGGAGTGGCTTCTCTTGTCGAACCACGGCAGGTGTAAGGTTATCTTGACGCTCTCCTGCATCTTGATCCGGGACACGGTGCCGGTGCTGCAGAAGGTTCCGATCCGGACCTCGGTGGCACCGATGTGGCCGTTGATGTTGTAAGTGACTCCGTCTGGGCAGCTCTCCCCGCGCCCGATCTGCCTGAGGCGAGGCCTGGAGAACACCAGCTCCAGACTGGTGCTCTTGCCAGCTTGGATGTCCCAGATGAAAGTTCGGTTGAGGTGGGGCAACAGCGATATTACGGGCTGCAGCTCGAACTCCCCAAAAGGACATGGGTGTGATGTGCAGTCTAAAACAGTCACAAAACAATCTTGGTCATAAATGCTGCCAGGCCTCTCCCTACTCCTCATCTCTTTAGTAGACCCTCTGGGAGTACCCCGAGGTGGACACACCCATCTCCAGGTTATATAGTGTTGATGGCCAGTGGCTCACAGAAGCCCCCTTCTTTGCTGAAGTGCCTCGGCTGGGGGTGCCTCCCGGGCCAGAGATACCTGAGGGTTTCGCTGCCTACCCCAGCAGGGAGCAGCAGCCCATAGCCAACCACCGCTCAGCTCATCGAAAGAGTGAAAATGCCTGACCTCAACCTGGTGAAGTCGCTCCTTTGCTGGCATCAGCCTGCGGCTACACTTTAGCTAAAACCACATCCTTGCCCAGCCGGTGTGGCTCAGTTGCACCAAGAGGTCACCGATTCGATTCCCTGTCAGGGCACATGCCTGGGTTGTGAGGTCGATCCCCATTCAGGGTTGTGTAGGAGGCAGCTGATCAATGTTTCTCTCTTGTCAATGTCTCTCTCTCTCTCCCTCGCCCTTCTACTCTATAATAAAAGCATAATATGCTAATTAGACCAGATGTCCTTCTGGGTGATCTTCCAGATGAAGCCGCGGTGGCTGGGCTGAGGCAGAGGCGTTGCCACAGTGGGCGGGGCAGGGGCCAAGCCCCTTGCATGAATTTTGTGCATCGGGCCTCTAGTCTAAAAATAAAAACGCATTTAAAACAGAATAAGAACATCTTTGCCTGGCCAGCATGGCTCAGTGGTTGACCAATGAACCAGGAGGTCAGGGTTCGATTCCTGGTCAGGGCACATGCCCAGGTTGCGGGCTTGATCCCCAGTGTGGGGTGTGCAGGGGGCAGCCAATCACTGGTTCTCTCTCATCCTTGATGTTTCTATCTCTCTCTCCCTCTGCCTTCCTCTCTGAAATCAAGAAAAATATATATTAAAAAATTAAAAAAAGAAATAAATCCTATCACTTCAAACAAAAACATCTTTGCTTAGTCCTTCCCTAGCTCCCTCCTTCTTTCTCACTTCTTCACAGGGTGCTTCCACGGGTACTCTCTTGACAAGTGTCTTAAGCGCAAGTTCCCATTCAGGCTGTTTCCAGGGAACCACACCCAAGACACTTCCTAACTCTTGTGTTTTCACATGAAGTCGGTGGAGTCCAGTCGGTGGGAGGCCCTCTGCCCTGGAGCCGGAGCCACCGTTTCACAACCTTGGGCACAGTGTCACGCTCTGCCTTTTAAAACTGGTTTTCCCATCCACAGGCTCATTAACTCACCAAGTACACTCAGAACGTACAAGCCCCTTAGTGGCTGGAAGCCCAGGCACAGTTTCTTTCTGCCTCGTGGCTTTAATGCTCACATTTTATTACCATGTTGGATTTTCTTAAAGCTAACAATGGATGAAGGATGTACCTTGTTTCCTAAGCTTCGAAAACAAAGGGAGAAACGCTGTTGTCGGGGCGGAATAGGGAAAGCACGTGGGAGAAGTAACAGCACGCAGACAACCCAACAGGCTGTTGTCTTGGGCATGGGGAGTGTGAAAGGGGAGATGGATTCTGGCCACTTTATTTTTTATGCTTTTAAATATACTTTTATTGATTTCAGAGAGGAAGGAAGACGGAGAGAGAGATAGAAACATCCATGATGAGAGAGAATCATTGATCGGCTGTCTCCTGCACGCTCCCTACTGGGGACTGAGCCCCCAATCCCAGCATGTGCCCTGACCGGGAATCCAGCTATGACCTCCTGGTTCATACACAGGTCGATGCTCAACCACTGAGCCACGCCGGCCGGGCAATTCTGGCTAATGACCTGCGCATCTTCACTGCTGCTCCAGTTGGGTATTTGAAAGTACCGCCCACTCGAAACGAAAGAATGGGAGAATTTTAGAGCTGAGCTGGACCTCTGAGGTCATCCATGCCAAACCTCTCCTTTTTCAGCCCCGAGCCCGGGGGACGGGCATGCCGCTTACAGTACACACACAATCCCAGGACAGAAGCCCGGGCTGTGTTTGCTCAACCCGCGTCCCTGCCAACACACGGCACCACCTAACCCACGAAACAGGGTTAGATAACAAGGTGACGAATGTGGCTAAAATTAGAGTTTGTCTGTCAGTAAAGACAGCACCTATTTTTAGGAGCTCTTGCAACTTCATTGTTTACGTCAAGTCACTTCTTTCCTTTAACATCTGGCCTTGTCGCTTTGCATCTCCACCTCCAACGTGCCCAGGGCCACATGGAGCAGCTCCTCCTGGGTTCCGTGCCCTTGTGGGATCACCGAACCTGTGAAGGGGGCGATTCTCAGCCCAGATGCACTTGGAGGAAGTTTAAAAAATACACATGCCCACCCGGCTGGCATGGCTCAGTGGTTGAGCATCAACCTGTGAGTCAGGAGGTCACAGTTCGATTCTCGGTCAGGACACGGGCCCAGGTTGCGGGCTCAGTCCTCAGTGTGGGGTGTGCAGAAGGCAGCCAATCAATGATTCTCTCTCATCATTGATGCTTTCCTCTCATCTTCCTCCTTCCTCTCTGAAATCAATGAAGATATACTTAAAAAAAAATACACATGCCCTGGCTGGTGTGGCTCAGTTGGTTGGGTGTTGGCTAGGGCACTGAGACTGCCAGTTCGATTCCTGGTCAGGGCACATGCCCGGGTTGTAGGCTCGATACCCAGTAGGGGATGTCCAAGAGGCAGCCGATAGATGGTTCACTCTCACATCCATGTTTCTCTCTCTCAAAAAAAAAAAAAAAAAAAAAAAGTCAATGAAAAATATTTGTTAAAAGAACACACGCCTGCCCTAGCCAGTTTGGCTCGGTGGATGGAGCCTTGGCCTGCGGACTGACGGCTCGATCCCCAGTAGGGGGCATGCAGGAGGCAGCCAACCAATGATTCTCTCTCATCACTGATGTTTCTGTCTCTCTCTCCCTCTCCCTTTCTCTCAGAAATCAATAAAAAATATATATTAAAAAATGCACATGCCTAGGCCACCTGAGAGATTGTGATTTAATTCTATACCAAGAACCTGGAGCCACAAAGCTCCATCTCTCAGCCACAACTCTGTACCGGCCACACGACACAGGGAGAGTCAGGTCATGTAAGCACTTGTCAGTTGGCTGCTAAGAGCTTCGGCTTTGAGGATGGACACACAGGGAAGAGTGGTCACAATAACCAGACGGGACTACCCCAACCAACTGAGCCACACCGGCCAGGGCTCCAGGGAACCCTTAAGCATATCAATATTCTCTGACATGTTAATTGGAATCGACTTAAACTGGTCAATTAATTTGGAGGAGAACTGACAGTTACAAAGTACTGAGATTTTTGGTTTTGTTTTGTTTTGTTTTGTTTTTTTTTAAAAAAAAAACCTTTCAAAATCTCTCCCAAGTTTCCGTGGTGATTCAAAGTTTTTAATGGGGAATGTTACCTGTCTTTATTGTTTAAATATGTGTCTTTGTTGTTTGCTTAAAATTGTTTAGCTAGTGAAATTTCTGTTTGTGTCTCTTAAAAAATATGAATGTACTGCTAATCTGAGGAATGTTAATTATTTACAGGTCACCTAAAAATTAAGGCTAAGAGTTCTAACTAACTGGAAAGTATGGCTTTGGTGTAATGGAGGAAGGTAAAGAGAAATGTTGAAAGAAAGGTGAATGGATGAGAGGCCAGTAAGCTAGGACAAGTAGAATGGGAAACTCACAAAGTACTGAGATCTTAAGGAATACAGTACACCTCTCTACGTATTTGTGTCTTCTCTTTTGTCTCAGTAAAATTTTACATATTTTGCTTCCTAGGTATCCTGCGTATTTATTAAGATAATC